GGCACCGAGGGCGACGGGGTGGCAGACGTGCTCTTCGGCAGGGCGCCAGCCACGGGGCGGCTCTCCTTCTCGTGGCCGCACGCGATGGACCAGGCTGCGGCCGCGGCGCGGCTAAAGGGGCCCCTCTTTCCGTTTGGGCACGGGCTGCAGACCAGGGCGGTGGGTTGAGCGCCCGGCTGTCCGTGTGTGCGCGTGCAGCACTCTTTCCCCCAGGGATTCTCATCTGGTATCTCCCCTCCGGAGATGTGCCTGTGCTCAAGAGATGGTTTTCGGCTTTCGCGCGCGCAGACATGAGACAAATACTTGCGTGTTTTCCTATCGCGCGCAGTCAGAGCGCGATAAAAGCTGACTGGCTCTCCCTTTAGCAGCCGAGGCTACAGCCATTTCAGCGTCGATCAGCGTCCTTTCACCTGACCCGTGACGGCCCTCAGGCGCCTTACGTACCTCGTCGAGACCGCATCCGGCAGCGATCTGCACGCGGAATACACGTCTGCGCCAAACGGGCGACGCGCTGCCTGTCAGTGCACTCACTCCGGTCGCAGCTGCCTCTGCGCGTCCTGTGGATGTACCTTTGTCGCGCGCCGGAGACGACTCGACGCCGCTGAGATCGGAGATCAAGCTCTGACAGGTCGCACGTCGCTCCTTTGACGCCGACGTGATTTACCCGTGCAGATCACATCAGGACACGGTCTCGACGCGCTCAGTACGACGCCTGCGACCCGTCTCGGGTCAGGTGGCACGACGCTCATCGCGCCCGCCAGCGCTGCCGTGCAGGCTGCCACGTCGAGGTCGAGCACGCTTCTATACGCTTGCCGAGCCTTCCTTTCCATCCCATTAGGCAGCCTGGGAACGGTGGCGATCAGAGGCAAAGCCTACGAGGGGTGGTGGAACCACATGTCACGGCTACTGCCGGCTCGACCCCACGATAGCCTCCGAAGGCTGACTTTGAGGCACCATCATCGGACGATGTCGACGAGTTGGGTCGCTCTCGCGGTAGCCAGATGACCTCTCATACTAGGATCATCGGCCATGGCCGCAGGGAGCGCGGGGGAGGGCGCTGGATGCAACACGGAGCTCCGTTGGAGACGTTTTCAAGATTAGCGTGTCAGAGTGAAATGGCACTAGCCAAAAAACTGTGCACCAAAATGCAAAAAAACCGAGCCGCGTTAACGTGTTCGTGTATAACTATAAGCTATAAATAAATAAATAAATAAAACGGGCAAACTCTGAGACGAGATGGGATTTAGGGACATGTGTCCCCGCCCTGCACGATCTTGGTGTGAGGGATCTTCAATCCGTGTCCCCTCACCCCTCGTCACAACCCGACACGGAAGAGCGGCAAGAGTTGGGGCTGCGGCTACGGCTGCGGCTATGAGAGGGGCCGGGGTCGCGGCAGAGCCGCTGCGCCGCGTGGGCGCGCCTACACCGCTCTTGCTCCGCTCGCCACCTCTCGCAAAGGTCCAAAGCCATAGCCACCACCTCCTCCGGCAAGTCCTTTCGCCGTATCTCGCCGTCCCTCCACGCCTGGAAGATCTCGTCGTCATAGCCGTATTGCATCACAGCCTGCTGAACTGCGTCGTGTACGACCCCTGCCGTCCTATCCTGCGCCTCAGCGTCGGAAAAGTCGAACTCGGAGTCATACTCGGAAGCAGGCACAGACGGCCGCGGTGATTTGGCAGGCGGCGAGGAGGGGGAGGGGGAGCGCGGCGGTGCGCGCTCGTGGCTCCCGCTGGTGCCAGAAGGGCCAGCGCCCAGCGCGCTCAGCCTGTTCTTGTTCACCTTGGGAGAGGGGGGTGGGGGTCCACCTCCCTTGGGTGCGGGCTGGCGGTCAGGCTTGCGCTTGACCGCCTTGCCCGGCGGCTTGCGGCCAGGGTTCCTAATGGTGAACCTGTCCGGCATGCCGCCCTTCCCAACCCTGGTCCACCCCTCGGGCGACTCGTTGGGCTGGGGTTGCTGCATCTGTTGGTGCTGTGGGTGTGCCTGCGGTGCTGCGGCCGGAGCTGCAGCGGCGGCAGGCGGTGCTGCGGGCGGTGCCGCGGCGGAGGTGGCAGCAGGCACAGGCTGCGGTGGGGCACTGCCCTCCTTGGCCTGCTGCCGCTCCCTGTCCCTCTCCCACTGGGACTGGGGCTGGACAATGAACTGCTTGCCCATGGGCGTCGGGTTGACGCTGAAGCTCCACCAGTTGCGCTCCACGGCGAGCTGCGAGAGGATGCGAATCATCGCCGTTGCTTCCCCCAGGATTAGTCTTCTCTACTGAGGGGACGAACTAAGGGCGGCTGGGCGGGGCTGCGGCCGGAGCTAGCATGGCTCGTCAGAGCCGAGACCCCGGCGAGGCGGCGCTCCGATGGGCGGCTACCTAGCCAGTCGCGAGGTTCTAACCGCTGCAGATCGGCGACAAACAAACTATGCCAGCGGGAGATATTCGGCAGATGTGTGTATCTCCCGATCTCATCCCGGTTACGGACACGTGCGTGCGTCCCTTCGTTGTGTTGCGTTTCGGACGTCCCTTCGTTGTGTTCTCCCCGTCCGCCAGCGAGACGCTCAGTTGCTGGCGGCCGCAGTCTTTCTGTGACCCACCCACCTCTCCCTTGTGTTTTGTCTGGGGAGGGGTTTCTCCTGCGGAGTCGTGCGTGCGCGGGGCTCCTCTTTGCGAATACTCCCTACATACATCTCGTACCCGTTCTACCAAAGAAAGGTGTGTGCGCCCTCTGGCCACTGGCAACTACTGGCATTGCGCAACCGCGGGCCACCCTGATCCCTATGTCAAAGCTCATCCTTGCTCCGTTCGGCGCTCTCCCCATGAGCATTCTCGTGCCCGTGCTCCGTGGGCCCGGGCGCGTGTTCATGGTCGCCGCTCGGACCGATTCGCAGGACGTGAGCGTCGCGTACACCCTGCTCCTCTTCTTCTAGCTGCTGCTCGGCAGCAAACTGCTGGCAAGAGGCGAGGTCGAGCTCGCATATAGCATTCAGCATCCGTTCCTTGCCGAAACGTGCTGCAATTCTGAGGGCGCCGATTACCAGCGGCCCCCTATCGTCGCCATCTGCCCAGAAATGGCGGGGAGTCAGCGAGAAGGCAGGGAAGTGAGGCTTCATTCAAGCGGCGACGCGCCGGAAAAAGCGTGCCGAAAAAGCGTGCGCAGCATGCTCGTGCGCTCGGCCAGCGTTGCAAAATCAAGCATCGTGAGGTTGGAAAGCTCAAGCTGAGGAGGGAGGGGAGAGTGAGGGTGCAGCACTGCGCGCGGAAAAGCGCGGGTGTGCGCACCGGCCCGTCGGCTCTCGCATAGACGCAGGAGCCCGCCTCGATGAGTTGGAGGACGATGTCCTCGTGCCCCTCGATCACGGCGCGGAGGAATGCTGTCGTGCCGTCCTTTGCAGTTGCATTAAGCGCCAAGCCAGTCTGCGATAGCAACCTTGCCGCACCGACAGTGCCGTACGTCGCAGCCTCGTGCAGGGGCGTGTGGCCCTTCCTAGAGACAGCCTCTAACAGGCCAGTCCCTAGAGCAGCGTCCCGAGCCACGAGGATCTGCAGCACATTCTCCGAGCCGTACGCCGCGGCGACGTGTAGCGCGGTCTGCCCCTTGTCATTTCGGGCATCGATTTGCGCTTCTGATTCGAGGAGCAGCTGGGCCACCTCTGGCGAGCCGCCCACGGCGGCCGCCAGGTGCAGCGGTGAGGCGCCTGCGTCGCTGGCAACCGAGGTTGAGGCGCCGCGCGAAAGCAAAAGCCTCACCACTGCCACCTTTCCATACTGCACTGCAAGGCTCAGTGGCGTCATCCCAGCTACGAGCTCCTCGTCCGACCCGGGCTGGCTAGCTACGCTACCCGTGCGAGCGTCAATGTCAGCCCCAATGTCAAGCAACGCCTTGACAGCCAGAGCGTTGCCACTCACCGCAGCCAGGTGCAGAGGAGACTCGCCATTGCTGGACCGCACGTTGACATCGGCACCCGCCACCTGTAGCTCCCGCACCATGCTTGCCGAGCCCCTGTCCTCCTGCATGACGAGACGGTGTAGCGGTGTGGCGCCGTCCTTGTCTAGGAGCTCCACGCTCGCTCCTTGAGCGAGGAGGATCTTCGCGGCCTTCTGATTACCCACCCGCATCGCCAGGTGAAGCGCTGTCGAGCCATCGCGGCTCGCCGGCATGTCAATCAAGCTCGCCTGGCTCACATGGTTCTGGCAGAGGACAAAGACCATGTCGGCCTTCATTGACAACTGAGGAGCGTTGCGCACTAGGGGAGTGATGTTTTGACAAGCAAGAGCGAGATTCACTAGGAGGGCAGGGCGCACCACAGCGAGATGCAGCGGCGAGAGTCCGCGCCGGTCGACAAGAAAGTCAGAGGCACCCTTGGATAGTAGCAGCTCCGCCACCTCGGTGCTCTTCCCATACCACGCCGCCATTGCTAACGGCGTCCGCAGATCTCCATTTCTGAGATCAAACGGCGCACCCCAAGAGAGAAGCAAATTTGCGGCTTCGACTTGGTCCTTCATTGCTGCGAAGTGGAGCGGTGTGTCGCCGTCGTTTGACGCTGAGACATTCGATCCACCTTCCAGGAGCGCCTCCACGGCCTCAGAGCTGCCAAGGGCCGCAGCGATGATGAGTGCCGTGTCCCCATTCTCGTCGGTCTCGTCGACGAAATCACCTCGGGCGAGAGCCGCTCTGACCGCGCCAGGGTCGTTGCGAATGGCGGCGTCGTGCACGCGTGCACCTAGGGCGGCGGAAAGTAGGACGAGGCAGCGCGCCGAAGGCATGTTCTCGGCGCGGCGGGCTCTCTTCGGCAACCTTCAAGTCTTGGAAGTTCACGGACCAGCGCCGGCGCGCTGGTCTATGAGAGGTTGAGCACCGTGCTCCGGCTCGCCGCGGCGTCGGAGGACGTCGCCGTCGCCAGACAGACTCCCTTGCGTTACTACGTGCCTCCCCGTGCGTGCCTGTGTGTAGGCTGGCGTCTGTGCCCCGTCTGTGCTGCGTCCCTGTCTCCCTGAGACGAGTTCATTTTAAACCTGGATGGAGGATGGAAGTTCACAGATAGGAAAGTTGAAAAGAAACAATAAGCTGCACAGGACGACAGTGTCAGTGAGGGTGTGAGAGGTAGAACCTAGCCGCCCCACACCAGGAGGTCTTGCACTGACCTTGTTAAAGAAAATAACTGCGTCGTTAATTATCAGAAGAGGGGGGGGGGGGGGGGGGCGAGCGGCGGGGATCGGCTGGCGGAGAACAGGGACACATGTAGCCCGGCCGGTTAGGCCGCGGCACAGGAGACCTGGCGAGCGCCGCGAGGCCAGTCGGGGCGTGGCGGCGTTAGCGGGGCATTTTTGGGCGCGGGTCGAGGTGAAGGGGCCCCGGGGCGTGAACCGAGATTCATGTCACAGACTCGCGACGACGGATAAGACGGAAGAGGAGTGGTATGTGGGAGATGACTGTCGTTTGAGTAGGAAAGAGTTATATGGTTTAAGTTATGCCTAGAAGTATGCGCGCGGTGTGTGTGCGGACCTGCCTGCTGCAGTGCGTCGTACTGTATAATTAATGCCTCCCCTCTGACGCTTGCTGCGCGATAATCTATTGAGCGAGACAATGAGAGGTTGCGGAGGACAGGTGCGAGGGGCTGGATTCACAGATTTTCTTCCTCGTCTTAGCGGGAAACCCCCTCTTTAAGTTTTGTCCTGGTTTTCGCGCGCTGTGAAGTCGGTCTGTGAGGAGAGCCACTCAGAGAGGTCTGGGCGGGCGGGGCAGGGCGCCGACGGACCTCAGGTGTCATGAGCTGCGCGTGTGAGCAGTGAGGGAAACCACGCTGTGGAGTGGGTTTAATGAGCATTACGCCCTTGCCGTCCCCTCCATCACCGGACACCGCCGCCGCCTCACAACCACCTCCTTGTGACATTAAGAGTGGGTTTAATGCGCAAGAAAAGTTAAAGTTGCTCCCGGCCCAGTGGGGATTTTGGCATCACGGCCCCGTAACACCCATGTGCATGTGCATGTGCATGCACAGGTATTCACGCCAACCTCGTACAACTCATCCCCGTCATTTTGTATGACGCGCCTGGTAGGAAGCCCCCGATTCACGGCTTCTTTGTCAGCTTGATGACATGCGAGCCAAACTTGGTCTTCACGAGGCCGAGCTCGCCGACGACAGTGTCGGGATCAAAGCAGTAATCGTTGAAGGCTCCAACCATCTGGCCCGGTCCAAAGGTACCGAGGTCCCCACCCTTTGCCCCGGACGGACAGGTGGAGAACTCACGCGCTGCGTCGGCGAAGTTCACCTGCCCTGCCTCAATCTGAGCTTTGATGCGCTGGGCGCGTGCGTTGTCCGAGACGAGGATGTGCGATGCGCCCGCCTTGCCGAAGGCGAGAAAGTCAAACACGCCTGCGCGCGCGGAGGCATGGCGAGCCGCTGTGCGCTGGGCGGGCAGCCCGGCAAGCCCGGCGGGCGTGAAGGCGGTTCCAGCGGCGAAGATCATCAGTATTCCGAAGGACATCATCAGCAGGGCCTCACGATCGTCGCTCACACCCCAGCGAAGGGTCTCTCCTCGAAGGGACACACCTCTGCCAAAAAGAATTTAGCCAGCGAGCTAGCACAGGGGACGATCGCGAGGTGGCATGAAGGTTGCAGCGAGAATCGGCGAGGGACTGCAAAGAGAGATAGGAAGAGGCAGACGCCCAAGGGTGGGCGCGACGGCTAGAACTCCACACCCCTCTCCTCAAAATCCCTGTGTGGTGGCGGCGTGCCGTCCTCCCGTCCCTGCCTTTGGGTTGTCTGTGTTATCTTTCTTCCTTAGAGCTTAGTTTCATTAGCACAGATACACCACGTGCGCCGTGTTGTGCAAAAAAGAAACGGCCTGGCCTTCTCCCCACAGAACTCTCGCACAGCATTGGGCACGGGACTGGCGCGCACTGGCACGGACCCTAAGCTAATCACGTCTCACACGGCGCGGCCGGCCCTAGCTAGATCTCCGCAGCAACCGCCTGGCGCTTCTTCTCCGCAACCTGTTCCGGTGTGAGGACCCCGAGCTCGATCAGGCGCTCGGTGAGGAACGCGTCCGCTGTGGCGTACTTTGGCGAGAGGTACGTCGAAGAGAAGGGGTGCAGGAACGTGGGGATGCTCATCCGGTCAGAGCTCACGTCCTCGTCCGCGGGCACAACAACGCGGTGTGAGGTTGCGCGGTACTCGCCGTTGGACATCTGCTCGAGCATGTCGCCGATGTTGATGATGAGCGCCTCCGGCACGAGGGGCACCTCGCGCCACTCGCCCGTCCTACAGGGCATGCGAAGAGCTTCTCCTGGACAGGCCTCCAGCTGGACGGGCGGGACGAGGCGCGAGCCCTCCTGTGGTCCCTCAGCTCGAGCCCTCTCGCCGAGCCGGACGGCAGCAGCGTGATCAGGTTGATGTCCTCGTGCGCAGAGGCGCGGGTGGCACCCGGCGCGGCGAGCTCAGGGTCATACGGCGGGTACCGCAGGATCCGCATCATCGTGTTTGTGGGGTCCAGCGTCTCCGCCAGCCGGGTCACGTTGTTGGTGCGCAGCTGCTCGCGCGTCGCCGCGTCCATGTGCTCGTCGATCCACTGGAGCAGCTCCCTTCCCAGCTCGAGCATCTGGTGGAAGAGGACGCGCGCCCGGTCGGACACCTCCTCCGGGTAGCGGCCCCGCGGGAAGTACAGCTGGTAGTACTGCTTCAGGTCCTGAAGCGTCTGGCCCTTCGCCGACTCCGCACGCGCCATACTGAAATAGCCGTCCTGCGTTTCCATGCTGCGCTCGTACTTGGCCTGGTCGGCGAGGCCGGAGGTGAGGAACTCGCGCCACTCGTCGTACACCTGCTCGATCAGCGAGTACTTGATCGGGTGGTTGGTCAGGACCGCAAAACCAGTGGCTTTGAGCGACTGCGCGAAGTCGCCGGGCGCGCCGCCCGAGGTGTAGTCGACTACGGACACGTCGCCACCAAGCCTGAGCGGCGTCTCCGACAAGACAAGCGCGCCGAGGAGGAGCGGCGAGGCCATAGAGCACGCGTACGCCGCGTACGCCGGTACCGCGAAAAACGGCAACAGCATCAAGAAAGAAAGCGCGCGGCCAGCTGCGACGAAAGGCGAGATGAAGGTTGCAGCGAGAATCGGCGAGAGACTGCGAAGAGAGATAGGAAGAGGCAGACTCCCTAGGGTGGGCGACGGATAGCGCACCACACACCTCTCCTTAAAATCCCTGTGTGGTGGCGGCGTGCCGTCCTCCCATCCCTCCCTTGGGTTGTCTGTTTTCTTTCTTTTAGGCGAGAGAAGAAGCGTAGAAAAAGGATCGGCAGGCGGCGGCGGCGTCGCTGGACGAGGCAGAGGAGAGCGACGCGACAGAGGAAGAAGCGACAAGAGAGAGAACGACGAGAGTGGGACGACCGCGAGGTGGCATGAAGGTTGCAGCGAGAATCGGCGAGGGACTGCGAAGAGAGATAGGAAGAGGCAGACTCCCTAGGTAGGGCTAGCGCATCACACCCCTCTCCTTAAAATCCCTGTGTGGTGGCGGCGTGCCGTCCTCCCATCCCTCCCTTGGGTTGAGTGTTTTCTTTCTTTCTTTTTACACAGGTACACCGGAGAAGAGAGAGAGAGATTTTTGAAGACCAACAAGAAATCACGACTCTCACAGAGATTTGGGCTCGGCAGCTTGTCAGCCCTCAGCCGAAGCTGGGGCCGGTCCCGTAGCCGAGAGAGCCCGCGCCGTTGAGTTCGACGCGGTCGGGGGGCCTTGCGGAGAGAGGCCAGCGAGGTGGCGATCGCTGAGGGAGAGAAGGACATCACGCCAGATGACGCTGCTGAAGTGCGAGCTGCAGAGGATGCGGCCAACGCACGGCTCGAGCAGCTACTCCCTCCAGCTGCAGCGTCGGCGCAGGCTACCTTCCTGGCGTCGCCCGAGGCGGCGGCGGCGCCACCCGCCGACGAGGATGACTACAGCGGCGACGGTTTCGAGGACGAGGCAGACGCCGACACGACAGAGTCCCTGCCCTCTGTGCAAGCACGCAATCCTGCTACGACACGTGGAACAAGCAGCAGCATCGCAGCCGGTGGTGCCGTACGATCGCCGGAGGAGGCTGCAGCGCTGCTTTCGAAGGCGACAGCGTTTTGGCAGAATGGGCTGCTCCACGCAGCTTATGCGGGCTGGGCGCACGTGACTCACCTCTCTCGGCGGCAGCGCGAGCGCGTCGGAGTCCAGCTGGTAGTCCACTCTTTTCAGTTGCTCGGGGCAACGCGTGGTGGCCCCGGGGCGCTGCGGTTGGAGATACAGTGGCCTTTGTCGTCTGGCACGCTGCGAACGCCCACTTTTGAGCGTTCGGCTAGGCCCGTAGCGCTCAGTTGGCAAGAGAACCTTGAGCTTCTTGCTGGCTCAAGACCTGCCGCGGCACTCAAAACAGCTGCGCTCGCCGCAAACGACTCCAGCGACGGGCGAATCCGCCTCGCTCTGGTCAGCCTCCCCGAGCGCGAGGGATTGCGTCCCTCCGAGATTGGGGCCGCCGAGCTGACGCTGCCGGCGGTGCTCTCCTCGGGTGCGGACCTGTCCAGCGAGGCAGTGCCACTCTTCTCCGCGCGAGGCGAGGAGATCGGTGAGGCTGTCATCTCTCTCGTTGCTCTCGAGGCCATGCGCACGCTGACCGCGAGTACTGGTCGGCCGGCCGTGCCTGCAGTGACGGTGCCAGCCAACGAGGCCGGCGCTGTCGAGGGCGCCGCGGTGTCGCGCTCGAAGGCGGAGGCGCACACAGCTGCTCGTGTACACAGCGAGGGACCGGCGCGCTCGATCGGCGAGCTCCTCTCTGAGGTAGGGCCGGCAGCCCCTCACTCAACCTCGCAGCTCACTCGCGCTGAGAAGGCTTCGCTGTGGGATGCATCTCAGCGAATCGGGACAGAGGAGGGACATCACGTTGGACAAGCCGTTGGCGATGAGGAGGAAGTTTGGCCAGACGACGCGACGCACAACGTGCTTCTTCAGTTCATCTCGTACACACCCACCGTGCCTGCTGCATTGCCTGCCGAAGGTGGTGGCGGCGAATCCTGCCGTCCGCCATCGTCACTCCTGCTCTCGCTTCGGTTCTACCATTTCGATCAGCGCACGACGCCACGTGCATTGCTCACGCAGGCTCCGCTCGGCGGCTCGGGCAGCGATGGTTCTGCAGCTGCCAGCGCTAAAGATGAGCTTGGTGCTTTGCTCTCAGACGCCAATGCCGGCGGTGCCAACGCTGTGCAAAGCACCGCGAAGGCCAACGAGGAGGATCTGGACTTGGCACCAACCGCCAACAGCGTGGCCTTGGCACCTCCTACCAACTCTCGAGCCCAACCCGACATGGATTTTGCCTCAACGGCAACACAAACACAGTCTACCCCCCGCGGACGGCCCGTGGTTAACACGCCGAACCCTATCCCCCGCGAACGGCTCGTGGTCAACTCGCCGAACCCTACCCCCCGCGGACGGCCCGTGGTTAACACGCCGAACCCTATCCCCCGCGAACGGCTCGTGGTCAACTCGCCGAACCCTACCCCCCGCGGACGGCTCGTGGTTAACACGCCGAACCCTATCCCCCGCGAACGGCTCGTGGTCAACTCGCCGAACCCTACCCCCCGCGGACGGCTCGTGGTCAACACGCCGAACCCTTCTCACGAGTCACGTGGCAATGGCGGCTCTGCGAGCTCGACACTCGCCCGCCGCCATTGGGGGGGATGCGCCTACCCTCACCTCGGGTAGACCGTTCACACCTCGCCCCGCGTAATATCCTGATTAGTTAATTGTTCCCGCGTGTTCGTTCGTCCATTCGTATCTTTATCATCGATCGGTCTTCGGTGCAGTGTATATGGAGCAAGACGTAGACATCGCGCACTCGCAGCCCACCGCGCCACCGCGCCGTCGGGCGCCGCCCTCGGTCTCCGAGGGAGCTCAGCTACACCGTCTGGTCATGCGCAATTTTGGTCGCGATTGACACGTGTGAGTCCTCTCACCTCTGCCAGCCGCTCTGGCTCTCGCGCGCTGGCGAGTGGCCCGTGCGAGGGGTGCCGCGTACTTTATGCTACTCACTCGCTCATTCGCGATGGCCCGGCAACCTCTCAAGACCCACCCCACCCGGCCGCCGCCGCTCACTCAGAGGCCCACCAGAGCAGGTAATCCTCGTCGGGCTGCATGTACCTATCGGCCGTGCCGCGGACGCGTGACTGGACGCGACCCGGACGAGCACACCTCCTCGTCGGGGCGCGCACTCGTCGGCAAAATACTTGGCCTTGTGCGCCTGAAGAAACTTGAGCAGCTCCATCAGCTTGGCGACCAGCACCGTCATGTGCTCCCGCTGCAGCTTGGCGTGCGCAAGCAGCTCCTGCGTCGAGGTTTTGCCGTTGGGGCATGCGTCGGCGGCCGGGCGTGGTGACGAGGGGGGGGGGGGGGAGCAAAGCAAAAGGGGCGGCGTCTCGGCTCACTCGGCTACACCGGTGCTACATCTTGTGCTACATCTGTGCTCCCTCTGGGCATTGTTGGCTCCCTCCCGGCAGCGCTGTGCTACATCCCTGCGCTCCCTCTTACGCCCACCGGCAGCTTGACGACTAGGCGGAGCAAGTGCTCTGCGCCGTACAGCTCGACCAGCGGCACCTGCCCACAGCCGGAGGCGTCAAGAGACGCTGCTCGCCACCACCGTCCACGCCTCGACGAGCGGCACGTCGGGCTTCTCGCTGCGCAGCTGCTGCAACTGCCTTCGCTCAAACTTGTACAGCAGGATCGCGCCGAGGGCCTGCAGCAGGCAGAGCCGGTCCTCGGTGGATGGGCCGCAAGCGGCGCCAGGACGGGTTGGATTAGGAGTGGGGCCCCTTCGGCTGCATCTCGGCTGCATCTTGGCTGCATCTCGGCTGCATCTCGGCTGCATCTCGGCTGCATCTGGGCGGCAGCTCGGCTGTGCCTGGTTGAAGTACGAGCGGAGCCCATCGCAGACCTCGGTGTAGAGCCGCTCGTGCGAGGAGCGCTTGGCCTTGGCGGCGACGAACTCGGAGAGGAGCTCGTGCACCTGACGACCACTCCCGGTTCTGAGAGGATGCCACCGCTTCGCCAGGAGGAGGTGTCTCACGTGCCGAAGGGGAGTGTGTCTAGGAAGTGTCTAGGAAGTGTCTAGGAGGTGTCTAGGAGGTGTCTCGCGTGCCGAGGGCGAGCGTGGCAGCGGCACCAGCGCCTGCGGGTGGAGGGGCGGAGAGGAGGGAAGGGGTGGCGGTGCGTCGCCGATGGACGGCAGAGGGGGCTAGCGAGGCGGGCCACGGGGTGTGGGTTAGGTCGGGGGCAAGGCGCCGGCCGCGCCTTTTCCCTCGAGACCCGCTCCCAGTCCTCTATCAGCTTGAGCTTGAGCCCCTGCGGCAGGCGGAGCTGCTCGCGCACCTCGGCGGCGATCGAGTCATCCGCCGGGACCACTCCGCCGCGCGGCCGCTTGTTCGCCACCGCCGCGCCGCCCTCGCCGGGTGCGGCGCCGTCAGCCGCAGGAGGCTCACCAGCCGCGCCCGCGCCATCGGTGCCGCTCCTTTTGTGCTTTTTGAAGGCGCGGTTGAACTCGCGGATGCGCTCCTTTTGGAGCTGCCGCGCGCTTGCGTCGTCCTTCAGCAGCCGCGACTCAGGGACCCACTCGTCCCAGTGGCTTGACCAGCCGTCATAGTGCACGCGATACAGCCGCACCTTTGAGCCGCCGGCGCCGCCGGCACGCTCAGTCTTCTCGAGGATGCGCGCGGGGAAGAGGAGCGGGCCGTGGTACGCCATGATCTCCTCATCAGTGTCGAAAACCACCATGCTCTCTCTCGAGGCTCAAAATGCGGCCAGAAGGGTTTCTTTTTTACCTTCTCCAACAGCCACCTACCTACCTACTCTAGGCTGTTAACAAAGGCTTTACCTTTCTTTACGGCGGCGAGCAGAATCGCGAGATATCTCCTATAGACTCTCGAAGGGGAGCACAACGCGCACCACTCGATCGAGGCACCTTCCGCCTCGGGCTCGGCGCGGAGCTTGCTGGCGCAGAAAAATTTACACCCAGGAAGATTCTTCCGGTCTTGTGGTACATGTCCTCTATCGCCTCGATCGACCTTCCTCGCATCCTCGGTCGGCTACGACCTACGTCCGTACGTACGACCTAAGCGCTAAGGCTCTGTGTATGCAGCGCGGTATGGGTGGGTGGACGCGAGACAGGGAGTTGACGGCACGCTCGAGCGACACACAGACACACAAACTCACAAGGGCTCTGCCCGCAAGGCGCCCGCGCAGACGCGGTCGGTACCAATGACAAATGCGGTCGGTACCAATGGAATACCCCCACACAAACAGATAGCAAAATCCGAATACATGTACTCGCATAATGTGGGTAAACGAAAGTACCGTACCGTATTCGCCGTACTATCAAGAAAGACACCGAAAAAAGTCGCCGCCGCAGTCCACGACCAGCCAGCCTGCTGCCGGCTCGCACGGCAGCCTCTTCCTATGGACCAGCCTCGACTTCCATACAGTCAACATTTTGTCGCTGCGTGCTCGTGGTGAGCTGTGGCGGCGGTCGAAGTTCGCCCAGATTCGGTGACGAGCGCCGGACGATAGTACCGCCTCTGTTCGCCCATGGAGGAGGAGGGCGCAGTCGGCGAATTGGAGGAGGAGGAGGGCGCAGGCGACGAATGGGAGGAGGAGGGCAGTCGGCGTTGTCGTGTCTGATTCAGAGGAGGAGTTGGAGGTGCTCCGGCAACCTAGCCTGATTCAGAAGCTCGCCAACGTTGTCACTCAACGTGCGTCATGCGTGATCGAGCTTGAGGGAGGAGCTCCGCTAACGATTCGGCCAGCAACCCAACGCCGCCGCCCATACCCGCCACCCACAAAGCACCTGCTCTACTAGGAATCCCATACCACCCTCCCCACTTTCCACTGATCATGCCCGTGATAGCACCATCACTGCCGCCGTCCTGGTTTTGAACGTGGCAGCTAGGCGAAGGGACTCGGTAGAGAGGGTAGTTGTGACCCCCTGCCTGAGTGAAATAAATAAAGAAAGAAAACGGTCAAACTCTGAGACGAGATGGGATTTAGGGACATGTGTCCCCGCCCCCTGCACGATCTTGGTGTGGGGATCTTCAATCCGGGTCTCCCCTTGAGCACTTGAGCACTGGATAGGGTCGATTCCGCATGGAGGAGGCTGCGCTGCGCAAGCACGGGCGGGAGGGGTTTCTCCTGCGGAGTCGTGCGTGCGCGGGGCTCCTCTTTGCGAATACTCCCTACATACGTCTCGTACCCGTTCTAACCAGAGAACGCATGGTACGCGGCGCGGTGGCCGGGGCGCGCATCGCGTCCGCCCAGGCGGCGAGGACGCCGTCGTGGGGCCGCCGGTGGTGGGCCTTGTTGCAAGTTTGTTGCCGATTCCGCTGCAACCTTCAAGCATGCCACCTCGCGGTCGTCCCACTCTCGTCGTTCTCCCTCCTGTCGCTTCCTCCTCTTGTTTTTGTCCTCCTCTGTCGCGAAAGAAAGAAAGAAAACAGCCTCGAAGGGAGGGATGGGAGGATGTCGTGAAAAAAGAAAGAAAACGGACAGTCCAAGGGAGGGATGGGAGGACGGCACGCAAAAAAAGGCTCCGCAAAAAAGGGCGCAAAAGGGCAAGGCCACGCCTGGGTATCTGTCCCTGTCCCACTTCCGCACCCCTGCACCCTGACGCGATGGCGGGCACACCGCCTGCGTCGCCAAGCACGTCGCGGCACGTCGGCGTCGACGTGCGCCCGCTTCCCGATCGGGCACGCGACTGCGCCCTCGCGGCGGGCGGCGTCGGCGCGGTGTGGGGCGCGACGGTCGCCGCCGCCGAGGGCGGCGCGATTCCACATGGCGCCGCCTGGGTCGGTTCGCGGTGGGCAGCAGCGGCCGCGGCCTTCATCGGGCTGCGTCACCTGATCCTGCAGGGCGATTGGCGGAACGACCGCGAGGCGGTCAGCGCCGTCGCCGCAGCTGCCGTCGGTGGCGGCGCAGCCGCGCTGCAGCGCGCATGGCGGCGGCTTCGCATCGTGAGCGCCGTCTCGTTTGTGACCGGGTTTGGCGGGCACTATCTGCACCGGTGGTGGCTGCGTGCGCGCCTCGACTGGATCGAGGGCGAGACAGCCGCCACCGCCGCCACCGCCACCACACGCCTGATGCAGGACCGGCTGCGGCACGAGCCGAGAAACTACGAACTTCGCTTGGCCGCGGCTGCAAAGTGACCGCGCCTTGCAAGTTGGCGTCTCCGCCGTCACCACGTTGCCGCGCGCTCCCCGCGCGCTCCCCGCCACGTTCACTCTTGCCTTCCTCCGACGGTGCATCATTGTGGGTCTATCTAGCCGGATCAAAGAAGTGGATGAGCAGGTCTCCGGTCAGAGACGGTCCGGTGGGGCACAGTGCGCGCGGTCTGTGCTGGTGTCGTGTGCGGTGCCAGCTCGTGTGTCGTGACCGAAGTCCGTGTCGTCGGATCTTAAAACTATAACAAACAAAAACATGTCCGTCTCGCCCTGCGCGGTCTGCCCCACCTTTCCGCACTACCAACTCGGTGGTGTGCGCGCCGCCCCCACACATGGCCGCCCCCCGCGCGGTCCGCGGTTCCCCCCGGTAGGGTCAACGCGCTCACACACCTCACACACACCGGCCGTGCTGCATGGTCAATCCTCCGTCTCTCACTCCCTGGGACCCGACCCCTCACGCCCGGCCCCGCGGTGGAGCAGAGCCGCCCACGCGGTGAGGGCCCGCCGCCGCGCCTCCTTGTCGAGGGTGAGGGCGATCACGTGCGAACCCTTGGCCTCGATATGCGCCTCCAGCTTGCCTGCCGCCCGAAGCGCCTTCGGGAAGACATAGAAGCAAGGTAGAGCCTAAGTCTCGGACGAATGAGGGAGAGGTGTCTAGGAGAGGCGACTCGCCTCGGCGTACGCGGCGCCCTCAGCGCGGAGCGGGTCGGCGGAGGCGGTGATGACGAGGGTAGTCGGGTGGGCGGGTGAGCCGAGCACGTCTGGCTCCGCGAGCCGGGGGAGCACGAAGAAGCGATCGGAGACGGCGTCTGGCGGGGTGCAGAGGGGGCGGGGGCGGCAGTTCTGAGAATGTGGAGGCGGGAGGTGTCGGCGCGGCTGCGCAGACACCCGCATGCTCGAAAGGGTAGTAGACGCTCCAGCTCCACCTCAGCCACGCCACCGGAGCAATGGTCGTAGCGCTGTTGACGGCAAAGGAGGCAGAATTGGCGCGCGGGTCGAGACACGGCTCGTCGAGGAACAGCGAGCGCACAGCGACCCCGCGCCGCGCGGCGTCCGTGGCGACGGCGGCGGCGACGCCTGCGCCTGCAGACGCCCCCGCCACGTGGATAGCCGACGAGTCAAGTCCGATCGACGCCGCGCGACTCGCGTCGCAGATGTACTCGAGCGCGGTGGCACCGTCGAGAGGTGCCGCCGGAAACGGGTGCTCGGGAGCGAGGCGGTACTCGACGCTGAGCCACGCAACCTGTTGGGTGGCTCGAAGCATGAGGACGAGTCAGAGGGTCTTGTCGGCACTCGGCGCTGAGCAGCCTTGGGCGCCTCGGCCACCATCGCGGCCAGCTCGGCGGCAAACGTGGCGCCATGCGAATCGCGCGCCGTCGAGAGCGTGTACCCTCCGCCGTGGAACCACAGAACCACTGGAAGCAGCGTGTCGCCGCTGCCAGGTGGATGGTACAGTCGCGCCTCGAGAGTGGAGCCGTCGGCGCGCGACATCTGAAGCAGCGTGAGCCTCCACTCGGAGAAAACGGAATCATGCTGCACACCATCTCTCTGATCCATCTTTCCTCGGAGCTCAAGCAATAGGGAGAGGTCGCCTGAGAGGGCGGCGGTCGTCATGCGCTCGAGGGGGAGCAGCAAAGGGAAGGAGAGCTGAATGAGCCAGTCGATGAGGCCAACCTCCGGGTGCCGCCAGAGTGGCGTCTCTTCTCCGTCGGTGGGTGGCGAGAGGAACGGGATGCGCATACTGTTGACCGAAACCACCGGCCAGGGTTCCAACTGTAGAGCTCTACGAGGGCTGCCCCGGACCGATTTACGCCCCGGCGGGGATGGATTTGCGGGTTTCCCCGTGCCGCGAGACTTGGGCGGTATCTCCCGCGATGTGTCGCGGACAAACCCAAGTAGACGCCCCTTGGGCGGGATCGCGTCTTACTTACACAAGAGGAACTATAACACATCGCTAGTCATGTACAATCATGAGAACTGGGTCCAGGCCCCATAGTGAGGTGGTCTCCCAGTCTAGCGCACCTCGCGCCCGGCGGGCGGCGACCTGTCCGTCCACCGACCCCTCCGCCCGCGCGTGCCAACGCCGCCTCCACCGCCGAGTCGAAGAGCCGATGTAGACCCGTCGTCCGTCCACCGTGTGGTACGCCGCGAAGCGGCCCGACGCCCAGGGAAGTCGGCAGCCGCGCGAGCCCGACGCCTGCTCCTGCTTGCGCACGCCTGCGTAGCCGGTGCTGCTGCGACTCGAGAGGTGCAGCCGCCAGCCCTGCGCCTCTGTCACCACCGCCGGCGCCTCCCCCGCGGGGCCCATGTGGGATGGACCTGCGAAAGCGCGGGGAAGGGAGAGTGCATTCAGAAGGCAGAACCTGAGCACAAGTGGGGGGCTTGCTCGCGAGCCTTGACTTGCATCGACTTGATTACAACGCGGAGCCATCGCGGGTAGCCAGAGGCGGCGGACCGATCAGCATGGGCGGCGTGTCATTCTGCAGTCGATCGCCGCCGAGCGGCATAGCGGCGCCGTCGCGGGTAACCAAAGGCGGCGGGACGGCGGGAGAGGGCGGTGGTGCGGGCGGTGATGCTGATGATGTGGCCATTGGCCGCCGCCGCGTCCTAGAACAGAGGACAGAGGAGCGTGAGTTTTTCTCATTTCTGAATTCTGTATTCTCGTGATTTCTCGGGATGTGAGATCATCTCAAAAGAGATCTTATCGCTTACTTACTTGTACGCGGGAGCTACGGGGGCTCAGAGAAAGCAGGTATTACGAGCTATACAAGCTGAGTTATAGCTACGGCTTTTTACGTAGAACGTACGGGCTCTAGGTCTAGAGCGCTCTGCTGTCTGCTGTGTGCTCATGAGCACCTGGCTGTCGCATGTGCTGTCGTGTGGTGCGTGCGGCGCCGCTCCGGCGCCTCCTCCACTTCGCATTAACCCCAGAAAGTGCGGAAACAGCTTACTGAAAGCGCTTCGCCTGGTCCACGCGACCGGCGACGAAGTGAAGGCAGTGGAGCGGATGTGGCGCGCGCGGGACGAGCTGCAAGCGAGGGGGAGGTTCGAAGGCGCGCGTTCTCATCGGGGCTGTTGGCCGGTGCTCTACCTCTATCTCGCACGCGGCTTTTTGGGCGAGGGCGTCGCACCGCGGCCCCGCTCGCCGCACGTGTGCGGTCGGTGCTTGCCGCGGCACGCGAGGCAATCACCCGCTGCGCCTCTCAAGCCGCCGCCGCGGCCCGCGTTGACCGGCGAGCGTGCGGGGCTCCTGCCCACCGCCTGCGCCGCCGCACGGCCGGCGCCGCCGCCCCGCCGCTCCGCCTTCGTGCCGCCACCGGCGGCGCCGCCGGTGCCCGCGGGCGTGCCCGCGGGCGGTGGGTTCGGCGGCGGGCGCGGCGGCGGAGCCTGGCGTTGCGGCGGCTGCGATTCGTGCGGCGGTTGGTGGAGGAAATGCGCGCCCAAAGCGTGCAGCGCGCGCGATGCGGCATGAGCGGCGATCGCCTTCGGGGCGAGCGCACGTCAAGGACATGTCACAGCCGCGTCGTGGAAGCGGCGGGCGGGGGTCACCTTTGGGCCCAGCAGGTCCTCGGAGCGCTTGTGGGCGCGTGGAAGAGGACGGAAAGCGTCGAGGAGGGAGAGGCAGCGCGGGAGATGCTCTGGCGAGACGAAGTCTTGCGCAACCTTGATACAAGCGCGCACGTTGAGCACCTAGTTCACGCTGGATCCGTGAAGAGACACCGTCCACACACGCGGGCATGGCTCCCTCCACGCGGGGCGCCACGCCCACCTGGTGCGGGCAGCCCGCCGGAATGAAGACCGCCTCGCCCTGCCGCTGCACGAAACGCCACCCCCGCACTCCCTCCTCGGCGGCCAACCGCTCCCGCAACGCGCGACCGACGTAGAAGCACTGGTCATGAATTGGGTGCGCCGGCGCCTCGCCGCGCTCCGATGCGACGCGCGCGAGGAAGGCGCTCAGCCGCGGCTCGTCCTCCGCCGCCCAGATGTCCCACACTGCCCCGATGGCGCCTGTTCACAACCTCGCCAGCCTAAAGAAGCACCGCGACCAGCCCAGACGCCACACTCTCCACGCCTGTGCCACGCTGCCGCGAGAGCCAATCGCCCTCGCCACCAGAAACCTCGTCGCGGCACGACGCGACGGCGTGCGCACTCCCGCCGCCCCCACCACTGCCGCTGCCGCCGCCGCCCCGGGAGGGGGCCACGTGCACGAGGACGTTCACGGCATCCGACATGTCCATGTGCAGCTTCGTCGAGCCGGGGCAGCTACCGACGGCGCCAGCGCCAGCCGCAACCTCGGCGGCGGCGCCGTCGCCGTCGTGGTCAAGCGGCTCCGTCTCCTCGATGCAGCCGTACGCAGCGTACATCTTCGGGCCGAGGTCGGGAGGCAGCGACCAGTGGGGCAGCGCGGAGGCGAGGTTGAGCTGGCCGGTGCGCGAAGTGTACGCGGCGAACGGGATCGCCGCCGCCCAGTCGGCGTGCTGCTTGGGCAGCAGCTCGGCGAAGTCGGCGGCGGGAGGGAAGTCCTTGAGCTTTAGCAGCCGCGCTGCTGAGCCGAGCTCGATCCCGCCCGAGCGCTGCAGCTTTCGCCGAGCGGCCGAGCGGCGGGCCGGGTCGTACCTCGGGGTTGGGGTGGGGGCGAGGGTGAGGGCGAGGGCGAGGGTGAGGGCTGGGAGGGGCGGGCTAGGTCGTACCCTTCGAAAAAGTCGCCGACTGTGGCGTCGAACTCGACGTCGGCGCCCGCCGCATCCGAGAGAGCGACCAGCTTGACGCCGAACGATCCGTGCAGCTTGGCGAGGGCCGCCTGCTCACAGCCAGACGCGTGAGGAGCCGTTCACACCTCGACGCGTGCAGCCTGGCGACGGACGCCGGCGTCCACAGATCTCGCCGCAGCTTGTCCCCCACGCCCGCGAGCAAAAGCGGCGCGCCCCGCCGCCACGCCTCCTGGAAGGCGCGCAGCGACGCGTTTGGCGGCAGCCGGGGTGGGCTCTGGTGACTTTGGTCAGAGCGGGGTGGGTTGGCGGGCGGCGGAAGAGCGGACGGCCCGAGCCGCCGGCGCGCGGCAGTCACCGCCGCCTCGAGCTCGGCGATGAGCGGCCGTTGGTAGCGCGCGCACAGCCGCCACTCCCCCATCGGGTGGGCGCAATGCATGCCGCCGGTGGCGCGCGGCCGCGCCGCCCGCCCTCCGCTCTGCGCGGCGGCGGCGGCGGCGATCCTCGTCGGCGTCCGGACTCGGCGGCTGCGCGAGAGAGCCAGCGGCGCCTCCTCCTCCCCCTCCTCCCCCTCGCCGCCCGCCGCCGCCTCGGCCGCCGCCGCCGCCGCCGCCGCCGCCGCCGCCGCCTCAGCCTGCAGCCGTCGCTGCGTCTCCTCGCGCTGCCTGCGCGCCTCGGCGACCGCGCACTCGAGGCACAGCTCCGTGGCACAGCGCGTGCACGCGCGGTACTGCCACCAGATCGCCGTGCCTGACAAGACAGTGCAACCAGTGGACAGAAGCCTCTCGGCGTGGACTGCCACCAAATTGGCCGTGCCGCAGCCGTCGCACAGCTGCCGCTCGCCGTCGGGAGACTCGCCGAACGCGGCGGCTCGCTCTGCGGCACCGTCCGACCTAGGTGAGTTGATCAACCCCCATCAACCAATCGACCACTGAAGAGCTCTGCAGGCGCCACCCACCGGATGTGGCAGAGGGCGCGCGGGTCGACCGTCACGCACTCCTCGTCCGCAGTGAGCTGAGACTGGAGGCGGGGAGGGGCAGGGCAACAACTCAGCCGGCGCGTACAAAGGCGCAAGCCGTCGCCGCCTATCTCGCCCCCCCCACCGATTCGTGCAGTCTCCTCTGCCGCAGGCAGACCACGTTGAGACAACCACGTTGCGAACCTCCGCATCTGCTACGGTGCGCCTCCCCGGGCAGCATCTCGGCCACATCTCGGCAAAACCCTCGGCGCCTCCTTCCGCAGCACGGCGGCGATCGGCGCCGCGGCGCAACGAAGCAGATGCTCGTACCTGTTCACGGCGACGCGCGCGTGAAGAAGGGACGCCCTTCACGCCCCCGAGGGCTGGGGCAGGGCGATCGCACCGCTTGCGCTCCTCGGCTGAGGCGGCCTCGTCCGCGTCGGCGAGCCGGAAGCCTAGCGTGTGGAGGGGCGAGGGTGTGGAGACAGTGCCACGCGCTGCATTATGAGGGAGTCTCTACTGCACTTTGACGCGATGGAATGCAGTGTGCCGTCTCGAGCTGCAGTACAGGCACGCAATTACAGGAACAGGAGGCCACACGCCACATCTAGGGCGGGAGCCGGAGCCCGCTGCGACGATTGGGAGCGCGCGCAGGGCGACGCCCGTGCTCGCGTCAAAGCAGACCTGTGGCGGGTGGCACGGCGCCCCTTACCCCGGGCGGACCGCAGCGAGGCCAGCAAGCGCGGTCCGTGCGTTGCATTTTCCCTGTCCCACGTCGCCTAGTGTGTGTCTGCCCGGATTGTGTTCGGCGTGTGCGAGTGGACGAGGCTTTGTTGCACCTGCCTGAGGTGGCGAAACCGGCAAGACTGGCTCGAGGATTTGGAGCACGACGTGCAGCGATCGAGGCCGGCGAACTTGGGTGCGCTGCACCGGAGAGACTGCACCGCGAGTACCTCGTTGCGCCGCAGCCGCAGCGAGTGCACGACGCGGCTGTTTTGCTCGTCGGACGACATGAGTGGCGAGAAGTCTGACGCCAAAGCAGGGCGAGTTGTGAGGCAACGCCGCGGGCACTGAGTGCCCCCGATCACGACGCCGGCTGCGGGTGAGGCGGCACCCCCGGGGCAGTGAGGGGCAGGGGGGGGGGCGGAGCTCCTCAGAGTGAGGCGCCCCGGGTGCGGACTGTCTGTGCAGAGTAGAGTGGGGTCACCCGTTTAGTTGATTTGTAGTATTGTTCTGTGTGAGCGGTGGTGCCGCACGGGCCGCTCGTCCAGAGGTCCAGTCTCCCTCGCCCTGAGGGAGGGTGTAGAGGATGTAGAGTGTAGAGCGCTGTAGAGCTGTAGAGATGTAGAGCGCTCTGGAGCGCTGTAGAGCTGTAGAGCTCTACATCTGCCGCGGGACGAAGCGCCTGCGTTGTAGAGCGATGTAGAGCGCGATTTTGCTGTAGAGTTTGTTGTAGAGGCTCTACAGCCAAACCGCCGGGACAAAGAGGTCGAACCGCTAATAATGGGGTGTCTCCGAGCTTACTGGAGCTCTGGTGGACGGCCCTGACTGTCCCTGACACACAGAGAGTCACTCTGACGCCACACAACACCCTACAACTGCGTCATGACCAGCCTGCCATGCGTCGCCGGTGCCGCATTCGTCGCTGTGCTTCTTTAGCAGGCGGTGGACTGTCGGCTGCGAGGACGGCCCTTTGCGCGAGGCGAGGCGAGCATTGTTGAGCGTTGCATGCGCCATGACTCGCGCCAGCGCGTGCGGGAGCTCCTGGCTGAGCGTTGAGTCCAGGCGAGTTGCGCTGGCCACAATCGCTACGCCGAGCCGAGCTGAAGCGCCGAGGCGCCGGCCAGTAAAAGCCGTGAGGCATGCCACAGCACAGCAGAGGCACCTGCCACCCATTGGGCGGGCAGAGAGAAGGCCAGGGTAGCACTGGCAAGTGCAACGCGCCTCATGTCGGAGAGCGACCGTGCCTCGTTCGCCGCTTATGATGTAGAGTTTGTTGTAGAGATTTCACGTTGTAGAGCGCCTCTACATCGCTCTACAACGCAGGCGCTTCGTCCCGCGGCGGATGTAGAGCTCTACAGCTCTACATTGCTCTACAGCGCTCCAGAGCGCTCTACATCTCTACAGCTCTACAGCGCTCTACACTCTACATCCTCTACACCCTCCCTTCAGCCCTCGCCTCGGCTGTGTGCGGGGTGGTGCCGCGGCGTGGCGCTGGTGCGGGGCCGGGGGCGCGCGGTATAGGCGTACGGGGGGCCGCGTG